TTGGCCTACCCCTTTGCTGCAACTTTCTTCCTCGCATGCTTGTGAAGTTGCCTGGCTATCCTACTGAGTCGTTTTCAGTTCGTGCCAGGAAGACGACTTTTGCATTCATAAGCAATAATCAGAAACCAAGTTCGAACCGAGTTTTCCAACTGTGTTTTAAGTTACACAAATAAAAGCAAACTGTTCAAAATCCAGGTAGGCTGACATTGTCATAACAGGAACACAATGCTAACAAGCAGACAGAACAAACAGGACAGTGTTGAACATCCTTAAGTTGAAAAACTTCTCCTGCTAAAGCTTTGCATGACTGACTGATGAACAGGAGATATCAAAGCCAAAGAAAAAATTTGGACCACCAAAGCTGCTGCTGAATGATCATCTCTTCCAGCTGGGGGCTGGAGGAAGAAGGCAGGGAATGGGGTCATTAGGCTGAGCTTAATCAAGCAAGCAAATCCAAAACCAGAAGCAAATATAGCAATGCACTCAGTGCTATATACAAAAGAAAGGAACCACAGAGAACAGGTCTTGCGAAACAGAACTGCTGTAGCTAACAATGATGCAGTTAGCATCCATGCTAAATAGATATGCTGTGCAGGATGATATTTTGGTACAAATCCCTACTTGTGCAGTACTGCTGATATTCTCTGGCTCTCCTTCCCATAGCACACAGATGAACTTAGTGGAAGAGTGACTTCAAGTGAAAACTTCAAGTACACCAGACCTGCAGGAGATTAAATTAAAGTCTCATAAATAGCAAAGAATAGAATAATTTCTAAACCTACTTTGTAGTCAAGATGCTAAGTCAAGATCTTGTCTTCCACTCTGGACTTAGTAGGGAAGGTCTTGCTGGAACTGTGAAAAAATAGCTTCAAGCTGTATAACACAAATGAAGAAGTACAGACAATCACAGCTACTTTCCTGATCACGCTTTGGGTATTTCTATCACATTCTTAAGTATTGCTGTGAAGCTGGGAATGGGAACTGCCAATAGCCACAAGTTTTACCACAGCTGACTATACAGGCACAAAGTAGCTATCAGTGGAAGTGCAAAGAGAACAGCAAATAGCAGATGACCAGAAAGCAGTCACACTAAAATTGAATCAGTCTTACCTAGAGGACAATTAAACATTCACACCAAAAATATGTATATGCTGGAATGGCCAAAAGTTAACATAAGAAATCACAAACCTGTTTTAGAAGAAAATGCCAGAATGGTTACGCTCTACAACTACCTTATTTTTCTACAAGAGACTGAGAAAAAACTCGGATCTTTGTCTTTATGCTCCTTTGCATAAGTGTCACACAGTCAGGCAGGTTTTGCCACTCAGAAGTTATTAATATGGATGTTTCCATGAAAGTTGCTGTGGAACTTATTTGAGAAACTGAATGTTGATCACCTTCAGCTGACCAAACTTCAATCAGTACATGTATAGTCAACACAAATTTTGATGGAGAAGCACAGCTGGCTTCACTGTCCAAGTGCATCTCCTCTCTAGGCAAGAGCCAATTGCTGTCTGCTCAACCTCCTTCCTTAATAAGTTAAATAAGATCATAGCAAGATGGGTGTCAAAGGGCTATTTTTTGTTGTAGTCTTTTGGATGTAGGAGCACCTGGCTTTTCTCCAATTGATTGTACCAGAGTGCTCCTCTAGAGTTTCAAAAACAGTGAAGGCTAGAGCACAGAGAATTTATTCTAGCAAATTTTTACAGTAATCTCTAAAAGGAATCACAAATGGTTCTCACAGGAGGCTGATTCAGATGCCCAACATTTGCCCTGTACTGTTCAGTCTTCCACTTCTCAAAACAAAACAGCCCCAGATACTCTGCAACCCGCTCTGCCAGATTTGCATACCTGCTGTAACACAGCAGATAATATCCAGCTTACTGGCCAAGAGCCTAATGAAAAATCTTGGTTGTCCACTATGGAACCGTGCTAATGGTACTCCAAGTTTTTCTTCTCATGCATAGAAGAGAGGGGATGGAGATAAGGATACAGAAAAAGATACAGTCTGGAGTTTCCAGTTTGGGCATAAATGTGGAAAGGTACAGGGCTGGGTTTGTGCTTTCTGGCTCATAGCCATATGAAAATCTAGATTGAAGGTTTTAGATTCAAGAGTGAGTGTCCAAGTCTCTACTATAACTAGTTAGTCCAGACTCCCCAGTCACTGGAACCGTCATTTGAATTCTCTCAACACTCAAACTCACAGAGATTTTCTTTACCATGGTTAATTCAACTTCTTTCTTGGATTTTTCCTGTGATTTAGATAATTCACTACAAGTTAGACTTCTTTGCCCAGGTATGGGATTCTCTCAGTCTATCTCACTGGCCTACTTTGGACAATATGATACAACAACGAGCCCTAGCCACTAGCTCTCTGGCCAGCACCTCAGTGATTATACCAGAAGAGTGCACTTGATTTACTCAGCTGCTTATTCTACACTGCCTTCCCAAATTCTCCTCTGTATATGCCCAAAAGGCAGAGAAATATATCCCACAGTTTGCTGGGCAACTAACTTAAAGAGTGGTTCAACTCACTCAGCACTAGTCTAGCCTCTGCTGACTCTGCTTCTTATTATGAGATCTCTTGAGAACGTGGCACAAAGCCCATTGGGAAAACGGTGTGTGAACTACTGTTCCCTTCTTCAGGCTTGCCTCCAGGGAGAAGATAAAAGATGATGTGGATGGAAGATTTGGGACTTAAAATGGAACTGTGGGATTAACTCCAGTGGTTTTCACACAGAATCACAGAATCACAGAACATTAGGGATTGGAAGGGACCTCAAAAGATCATCTAGTCCAATCCCCCTGCCGGAGCAGGAACACCCAGATGAGGTTGCACAGGAAGGCGTCCAGGCGGGTTTTGAATGTCTCCAGAGAAGGAGACTCCACAACCTCTCTGGGCAGCCTGGTCCAGTGCTCTGTCACCCTCACTGAGAAGAAGTTTCTTCTCAAATTTAAGTGGAACCTCCTGTGTTCCAGCTTGTACCCATTACCCCTTGTCCTATCATTGTTTGTCACCGAGAAGAGCCTGGCTCCATCCTCGTGACACTCACCCTTTAAATATTTATAAACATAAATGAGGTCTTCCCTCAGTCTCCTCTTCTGCAAACTAAAGAGACCCAGCTCCCTCAGCCACTCCTCATAAGGGAGATGCTCCACTCCCTTAATCATCTTTGTAGCCCTACGCTGGACTCTCTCCAGCAGTTCCCTGTCCTTCTTGAACTGAGGCGCCCAGAACTGGACACAATATTCCAGATGCGGTCTCACCAGGGCAGAATAGAGGGGTTTTCCTGTGGTGAGGACCTGTAGCGCATGGGTAGGTTCCAGATACGCTGTAGCAAAGGATGGTTTTCAGAAGAGCATCTAAGCCTGGGGTGGACTGCTGCTTGGGATCGTGTCAGCTGGTAAGAACTAAGAAGAATATAGAAATGGCCACAATTGTAGTCATTCAAATTAAAACTGCAGTGAAGACCTGACAATTAAAGTGCAGACACTACTTCCACTGGGTAAATATAGCAGGGAGGAAGTGCCACATAGAAATATTTGATTTTTGCATGAAGCTTTTGTTTAAAAAAATGTAGAATGTGTCATTGCTGATAGGGGTATTGAATAGCTCTCACCGCTGTGATACAGTTGAAATCTCTGCTGATGACAAGCAGTAGCTCTAAATTGTTGAAGCATGGAGCAGATCAGCCCTAAAACACATTTTCTCCCTAAAGACTGCAGCCTATTGAATAACAAAGGTTAGTTTAAGTCCTTTGCAATCAACCCTTGCATAAAGCATGCATTCCCAATGCCAGCTCTTGTTAACATATTAATATGAAAATAGATTTCTTGTATGTGAAACATCAGGTGTTGAATTTCATCATTTACCCTTCTCTACCAGTATAGAAATCGCTGCATATAAAGATACTGTTTGCTCAAAATAATAATAGTACTAAGTGTGAAATAAATGAAAACAAGGAAAAAGAACTATTTTTTTAAAAGAAATGAAGAAAACAAATCCCTACCATTTTATCCATGCTTAAGGACATTTATGTTTAGGGCTGCATAGTGTTTCAACAAATATCAGAGTCTGCTGAACATGCAAATGTCTTTACAGGCACTAAAGTTAGTTTTCTAAGAAAAAAATAGTCACATTTTAATTTTATAAATGTTTCTTGATGTCAATTACATATTACAGATTGAAAAGTTAAATTAGAGAGCAGCAGGTTGTATTTATTTATCTGAAAGGAGTCACTATTCCAAATCTGTAGTTAACAGAATGGTTAAATGAAAAGTGTGTACTAAGTGAAAAGACAGGAGCAAAAAAGCAGATATTAATTAATCTGGAATAAATTCATAAATTCATCTGGAAACAGCTTTAATAAAAAGCAGTCTCACTCCTGGGATGTTCCACTAAGCCAGCTAATTAGCCCTGCAAATACAGGGCAAAAAGGCTATTTTAAAAAAGCACACTAATGAAACTCAGAGAAAGGCAATATAAAACAAATCTCTTAACATAAACGAGATGAGAATTCATTTTTCCCATGGCGCTCTCCACAGCTCCTGAAAGTGCCTGCTGCTGGCAATGAATGAAATAAAAGAGGAGGAGGGAGAACAGAGAGAAAGAGGTGTTATCTTACCAGCCGTTGGAGCTTATTGCTCCGCTCCTTCATGACGCTGGGAACTCACAAGCCTATAAAATGTGCCTTGGCTCCCAGTCCCCATCTCCTTCAGCAAAATCAAAAGCAAGAGGCGGCTGCACAGAGAAGGAATAGGATGCTGTTGTATCCAGAAGTAGCTCTCCCGATCCAGCTGGTACAGCATTTCTAACAGTTTGAGCAGCACAGCCAAAGCTTTTCTTATGACAGATTTCTCCTTCCCAGTACGTGCTGTGCTGCCCTACTTCCTTTTTTCTTTCTTTCCTCTTCTTAACTGTTGGTGGGGATTTTGGAGGGTTGGGAGAGTGAGGTGGGAGAGGCACATCATACCTGGAAGAGAGGAGAGGAACATCCAAGATGACTTCTGTCCCCACAGCCAACTGGAACATGAGCATGAGCAGCGGGTGGAACTTGAGCTTTGCTGCAGCGGGTGATCCCTGGGGACAGACGCTGGGAGCACCAACTGGAAATGCTTCTCCCCCTGTAGCATCCTTAGCAGCCAACTTCTCCAATCAGTTTGTGCAACCCTCATGGCGCATTGCCTTGTGGTCCCTGGCTTATGGTGGTGTTGTGGCAGCGGCCGTTTTTGGAAATCTCATTGTCATCTGGATTATCCTGGCTCATAAGCGCATGAGGACAGTGACCAATTACTTCCTGGTGAACCTGGCCTTCTCCGATGCCTCCATGGCTGCTTTCAATACTCTCATCAACTTCATCTACGCACTGCACAGTGAGTGGTATTTTGGAGAGGCTTATTGCCGCTTCCACAACTTCTTCCCAATCACAGCTGTCTTCGCCAGCATCTACTCCATGACAGCGATAGCTGTGGACAGGTGAGAAAAGGGAGGAAAAGTTTAGGGTTGAGACACTGAAATCAGATTCCCTGCTGAAATAAAAATACAGAGATAAAAATCATTAGGTGATGAAGGGCAAAGCCCTCAATAGTTCAACGATTGTGCTCCTCTGTACTACTTTAAAATCTCTCCCTAACACACTTTTGCTCTCCATCTTCGGTCTTTTTCCTTCAGAATTTCATTGATTTTACTCTCCTGCTTTCTCTTACAACAAACACTTCCTCTGACTTCAGTTGCCCTCTGTGCTCCATCACTTAATAATAATTCTGTAACAGCAGCTATTGCTCAGGGTTTTGCATCCCCACCTGTGAAAACAGTATCTGTCCCTCAGTCCATGGCATCTAATTCATATTGATAAGGAGTTGTAGAGGTTGTGTGCAAAAGGAGATTATTTCAAATTTCCCTCCTCTTTGTATTTCTGCAGCTGACAGAGGCACTTGCCTTCTCCTCAGAAATCACTTCAGACTCTGTTTTTAACAGCTCTTCTCACAGATAGCCCTGACCTGCTTGGTTCCTTCTGATTTTAACTAATGAGACTATTCACAGTGCCATCTGTGCATATCCAGAGGTCTGGTAAGAACATGGTTTCAAAGTGCTTGATTTTTTTCTGATTACATGCAGCAAAACAAGCCTTTGTGACTGTGAAACAAAACAGAACAGAGAAAACCTTTACCTTTGTGCTCTTTACAATAATGGAATTGGACAGCTGTAGTCTCCATAGAGTAAAGGGGAGATGTAGTTGACAGATTTCCAACAGTGATGCTTTGCTGGACCATCTTTCTCAGAAGGTGCTATGAGTCTCCCCTAGGAAATGTTCCTTTTGTTATGATCATTTTCACTTTTGATGTAGTGGAGAGATAACTTACCCCATGTTTTAGAAATCCAATAAATTCCTGAATTTTCATTCAGAAAATCAGATCGCTTCATACTTCAGATCTTTTATTCCTTTTAGCAATGTACTGAAATCAGTCATAAAGCTCCTTTCTGCATGTTCAAATCATGTTATGCATCTTGTTTGAATTGAATTGACAGAACTGCAGCAGTTTCTTTCTGATAAGATTTTATAAGGTTTGATCCATCTTCTGAAATGCTATTTCTCATTTCCAGGTGCAAAGATTGGGAAATGTACATTTTGTCTGTGCTATGGAAAAGTTCATAATAATGCTTTTCTGTCGGCCCTACTAATTGCAAATTTCAGGTGGCATTCTCATCCAGATGCATCTCTGTTCCGTAAAACTAAAAATGAAAGAGAAAATGAGATTCTTAGCAACTCTTCTACCTGTCTGCTCCAGGGATGGGTGAAGACAGGAGGAAATCAGTACACTTTCCCCCCACCAGTTATGTATCTTGTTCCCAACTGTTATCTCCCCTTAATAATGAAGGGGGCAGTGTAAAGCCAGTGATACTACCTTTAACCAGGAAAATATTTCTTCCATTGTCAATCTGAGTTTAGTTTAAGATTCTCATCTAGCTTGAGGTTTTCAGAAAGATGAAAGGTTTTTGGTTGATGCTGAGAATTTAACTGTTACTGCTCCAGCTGATCATGTCATTAGCTGGGCAGTTACTAGGGTGCTCTGAGTGAGGTTTTTTTCATTTTTCTTACAAAAACATCCACAGAGATGTAGTACTTACAACCTTGAAAGTTCCTAAATTTATGCTAGGCAACTGGAAACAAAGATGAAGAGAGTTCCATGGGAATCCAAAGGGTGCATTTCCGGAGTGAGTAAAGAACAGCTCTGCTCCACACTGCCTGAATTGCAATGGTCAGATACAAATGTATTGGAAATGTTTTCCTTGGTTTAGCAATGTGACACACAGGTGCTCAGAAGTGAGCCAATTACTACTGTTATTCACTCAAATCTATTTCTTGTCTGAAAATCTCCTGAATAAATAACAAATTCCACTCCACCACATCTTCCAAGCTTACCTGTCCCCAAAGACAAATCAAAATCTTCCCTTGGGGGAGCACACTGAACAATGCCACAGCTGAGTTTATGTAAGCTCTCTCTAGTACTGAGGAGCATCATGTAAAACAACTAGAGGAGCAGTCTATCCCTTCTTTCCTATTCACACTGCTATTCCTTTTCCTTTTATACCAAATCATAACTGATGCATTCAGTACCTTTAACCATTTCCTGGCTACCTCTGCAGAACACTTCTGCAGAGTCAAGAGGAAAACTGAGGGTCAAGGTGAATGCCAAGACATGTCCTTGGATGTAGAGACTGCCCTATTCCAGAGCACAGATATGCTGGGTGGACATTTTCTAAAAAATTTCGTTCCCATTTGCCTTCTGAAAAAGTTCAGCCAGTGCTTCAGACAGGACAGTCTACTTTAGTTTTGAACCAATAAACTCATCCGTACACATTCATGTTTATTTAATTTTTTTTTTTTAAAAAAAGGCTACAGATTAGGATAAAACTGCTGACAGAACTGAAACTATGGGATCATATCAGATTATTTTCCAGTAGAAATTGTTAACATCCCAAAATACTGAAAGTTCATGGTTTGCAACTCACTAAAAAGAATGCCATGATACACTCCACTGATTGTTTTAGAACATCCAAATGTTCACAGAGTATGAATGAGTCACTGTGATTCTAGACATCATTGAGCAGCGATCACGGGCAGTACACGTTTCCTTTCACATCTGATTCTGTAGGCCATGTTTACTAAGCTCTGTGCACTGTGAAATTACAGGACTGACACCGCCTTCCGTGGAGTAGGCAGTTCCTGCAGCAGGATGTGCTGCATCTGGAGCTGCTCTATGACCAACTGGTCATTGAACATAAACTCAAATTTATGTGAGTTTATTCACACTTCTGACCACCCCTTTCTGGTGGTCTTTTTCCCCTGCCTTCTGCTTCTTTTCCAACAAGATGTTTGCAATCTGCTGTAGAGATACCACAGGTAGCTTTAACCAAGCCAGCTGAAGTATCAGAAGCAGCACAGATTTTACACTGTAGTGCTTCACAGGCATTCATTCGTTAATTCTTCTGTAGCTCATGTTGCACAGTACCATAGTTATATTGCTTTCAGTGCAGTAGTTCCTTTAGCTACCTTATGGGGATAAACTTTCAAAATATCCTAAGATAAACTGAATAGGGAATAGTTCTGGAGACAATATGCCCTTGCCACTGGCCAGTGCATGATCCTAAGTAATTTAAAAGAGTGACATAAATATGACAATATTTCATATAAATGTAAATAAAACTACATTTATGATACACCAATTTTCTGCATTACAGCAAAACAGCCTACAAGGTCTACTGCTGCTCACCATGGGTTAACATAATAGCATCAAAAAGACCTATATAACCTTTTTCTAACAAATTATTAGGAAAGAGAAAAGTTATGGATATGACTTAAACATTTCTAAAGATCAGATTCAATCAAATGTTACTCATCTATCCTAGCCTTATACTCTGCAAAAATTCTAGACCATTTTCAGTTTAGCTACTTGCAGTCATAGGTATTTCAATATAAGATTGACAAAATAAAGTCTGATGTTAAAGAGAATACACTTTCATGCGCTGTTTTTTTAACCACAAAAGTTTCTTCACATGTTGTGTTAATGTCAGCTGTGGAGCTGTTACAATTTGTTCCCTCAGTGAGCCATTAATAATGCAAGTCTAATAATTAACTTCAAATCGGGAGATTATCAAAGTAAATCAACATTTTTAGAACGTAAAACTTGATCGTATCCCAAAGTTCTGTTATTATTTCAATCATAATTTCATCTTTTCCTTGTTTTTTTGGTCTTTCTTATAGAATGCAATGCCCTTTTTTGACCTACAGACAGATACAGAACTTTATTCTATATATGTCTAGTCCAACAGAGCTGTTATGAAACTTCCTCTTTTTACTTATTTCACAGAATTGTGTCTGTGGCTTAATTTTAGAAGGAATAAGACTATTAAAGTTAGAACTAAAAGACAAGTATACTAGCACTCTTACCTCTGGTACCCCAAGCAGTTCACTTAAGTATGATTAAACAGCATCATGCTGTTGACATCAGGATGAATATTTTTTAAAAGTTTTATTGAAAAATCAAATAATCAAACAATTTGCATCAGAATGAGAACCAGAATCCAAGAGCTATGGGCCTAGCTTTCCCATTCCCAGCACCCCTAGACTCACTCTGCTGAATACAAAACTCCAAATTAACCTTCACCAGTAAAATATTAGATAATTAGAGAATCTAATGTATCAGAATATGATTGATTCTTGTTTCCCTTTGGTTACTATTCTCATTTCTTTTTAATAACCTTCTTCAAGTTTCTATAGTTCCCACTTTTTAAATTAAACACTACTATAGGAGCATTTTTGGGGACTTTTGTTTCTGTAGAAATGTTAAAACCAGCCATACTCTAGACACTATTTAAAGAATAATAACATTTAAGCCTGACCATACAAACTATTCAGGACAAACTTAAGAGCTCCTTGTTTACTTTGGACTTCTCCTCATAGATGCTCCATTGAGCAGTCATTAATGTTGACCAAGAACATGGTTTATGTCTGCACAGAAGTACTGATATCTTCTATTATTATTGTATTACCTGCTATCACAGCCTTTCTAATTTCTTTTGGCACATCACCATTATTAATATGAATTAGCTGAGTGTACAATCCTGAAGTTTCTTATTGCAGAGTCATGCTTGGGTTTTCAAACCATAAAATTCTGTATTATTAATGAATACATTTGTTTTACCTGACTTGATTTTAAACTATATTTAACATTTTTATTCCTCCTTTTGCACAATCTTCTCTATTTTTTATGAACTTTAGTATTACAGTGTTGCATTCCTACTACTGAGTTTCTAATATGTCTTACACCAATATCCTTATTCAAAACTTGCAATTCTAGTTTCCCACCTTATTTCTTAGACCTCTAATGTATCTACAGAAGAACACATATACTGGGTGAGTTTTCTCCTTTTCTGTGACATTGGTCAGTTACTGATGGCTGTTAATAATCCCT